TGTTCTGGCAGAAAGGGAAAGTGAGAACAAAAAAAAAAAGAAATAAACCAGGTGTAATGCAATGGTCCAGGACATGCTGGCTGTCTGCAATTAAAATCTTTCAATCAATATTTAAAGTTCTTTTTGAACTTATTAGGCTAGTTATATTGATCACATCAATAAATCATTGTGCAATTCTAAGAAAACCTTTCTTAACATTGAAATATGAGTGTCCCTACCAGAAAATGTGTTTTATGATAATCAGTCAGATGAATAAATAAGAAAATGCAACAAGAACAGATAGAATCACTTTGAAGTCTCGCTCAATAGCATTTGACCTCATCCTGTCTTTAATTGATTAGTTCTCTAAATCTGTAAAATGGTGGATTACCCTCCCAGTTAGAGGGGCTCACATTGAAGGTTCTGTATACATCTGTATTGATTTGGGTTGTGCACTTGTCTGTGATTGCCATTTAATTGAAGGCTCAGTTGGAAATATTCATTAAAACCATCACATAGAGAGTGCCTCTAAAATAAATTGTGAAGAAAGTGTGCATTTTAGTGCACACAAGTTTATAACATAAATCTTTCTGAGAATGCAGAACTGTAGTAATACTGCAGACCTGCTTCTCTCTCTCTCTCTGCAGCTTATTGAAAGGTTCCTAAAATACTTTATACTTTTAAAACTCATAAGTATAACAGAAATTATAATATTCTGTCATACTATCGAAATATTGCATGTACCAATAATGACAGACACTGTAGATAAAAAAAAAAACATTTAAAAGTTATTTTGTGAAGTTACACCTTGCCAGTGTTATCAGATGTTAGACTTCTTTTTTGTCATAAGCAATAGTTCCATCCTTAGGGACACATTATAATGATCAGGTTATCCTTCATCATGTCATCAATAAGAAATTTGACAGGTAAAGCAGGGAATGTCATGGTGCTGTTCTATCCATTCTGGTCACATAGCAAACTGAGTATATTCTTCTAGTGCAATCTTTATAATAATATGTTCATGTGCTGTGAATACAAATTAAATGCTATCTGCTTTATATATTTATGTAAATATGTGCATGTGTATTAATTTTCTTTTGGTAGTGGTTATATTTTTAAAGAAAAGTGTACTTTTAAAGATGTAAAATTAATACACAAGGTGAAAACTTTTTTGAGCACATCTAGTGATATCCTTTTTTAATTTTAGAAATACAAAGGTTTTGGTATTGGCAGTGGACTCTGCAATGACTGTTTTTCGTAAAGAAAATATAAAATATTGAGTGAAATATATATTCTTTTTAAGATTAGAACTATTAAAATAGGAAAAAATAACTTTAAACAAACTTGTTGAAATATTAATATGAATGGCAATCTAATCTTAATCATGCAATCTGATCAGAAATTACATACATATGGAAAATACTGTATATTGAAGGGTATTATAACATGCATGTCACATGTCCTCTAAATGTAGATCAATTTATTTTTTTCTCAGTTAAAATTAGCTACTGTATGTTGAGTTGTGGATATGCCAAATGCTTTCACCATGATCATTTTGTTATAAATGTGTAATCAAAAGCAAAAATTAAATAATTTAAGTATCTTGCACATTTAAAATAGGCATGTGTTTACTGGAAAATGGAAGATGTACAAGAAATAAAGAATAATTGATTTTAAATTAATATATTTTAGTACTACTGTAATGACCTACTGTAGATACTGTAGATAAGAAAAAGTCCTAATTAAAACAATGTAGGCCAGAAATATATTAAACAAGTTGTTTTTTTTTGCACCCCCTTATTAATGCTTTAATAAGGTGTTTCCCTGCTGTGAATCAAATCTTACATCAAAATCTTACCAAACAGGCTTGAATTGTGTGAAACACTAATAATAGCATGCAATTCTACAACCTTCCACTCCAGAATTTCTTTTTACTGTGTGCCATATTGTACACAGTGTCAATGCTTTTCTCTCACTGAAAGTCTAATGACAATTCAACAGAAATAAAGACATGACAAAGTTAGTTGTAAAATAGCTTTCACAAAACCATATAATTGAATATGGACTTTTTAATATGAAGCAATCAAAAATAAATAAGACATTTAAACACAAAAACAACATTTTATTTATTAATGTTATACATGTTAAAAATCCATCCCTCCTCTGCCACCCCCATAAAATGGTTTGAGGAAAGTTTGATCTTGTACACATAGTAAGTAAATTATTTTAGAATTCAAAATGTATCCTAACTGTATATAGTTTCTAAAAAGTAATCATTTATTTCACAAACAAGTTTGGAACTGATGACAGGTGAATAGCAGTTATGAAAATGGTGAATATACTGTACCAGTTATATACAGCTGGTACTGTGTTTGGCTCTAGGGTACTCTGAGGCAAACAGTGATGAGCATCCTTTAGTTTAATGAAATGTGTCACTTTTTCAGAATGGTGTGTTGGGATTTCATTCTCAATTTCAATGGAACCCTGAACAATTATGCAATAAAACAATAAGTAGCTTATGTAAGATATGCCCACCAATTAATTAATTCCTTGTCTGATTTTAAAGGTTTTAGTTGTGTTTTATAAACGTTCATTTCAACCTTACAACCTTAAAATAATCAGTTACAGTACGTTACCTGAGCAATATTCAAATGGACATATTTTCTATAATTAACAGGGAGGAGCAAAATGTTGGAAATGTTGTAATGCTGATATTACCTTATCTAGTGTTAAATGTGTAGCAATATATTTGTTTAAAATGTAATATTGAAGTGAATTGACAGATCATAAACATCATAACAGCATTCGTAAGTATGTCTATTAATTTTGATTTTGTAAACATATGTACAGTATCTAGGTAGGTATGTTAGGCCCCCTTTTCATGCCATAAAGGCCCATGGGGGAATGGGGGTCAAGGGCCACCATTTTTCTCAACCATCTGACACTGGAAGTGGAGGTGATGCAGCCAGCATCACACTCTGGCTGGTCTATTACCCCCAGAAGGATTAACCTATGGTACTCATTTGGAAAGCAGGCTGAGTGGAACTGGGAGCTGTCTGGAAGGAATTAGTAAAGATACTGTAAAATTGTATCTTTAAATGTCACTTAATGAGGTATAGCAAAACCAAATAAGACAATTTATGAATGTTTATTGAAATTTGGCTTAACTTGTGTGGCTAATTATCGACCACTGGGCTGTAGGACAAGGATGTTAGGACCCTCCTTCAAAAAGATATTAACCAAGATGTAACTGCAAAGGGGTAGATGGGGCGGGGGAGGAATGCTGAAAGACAACTGTGATCAAAAGAGGGGGGCTGACTATGGTATTCGTAGTTTTTCAGGGAGTGACGTTATGGAGACTTTTAAGTTAGCATAATAGAGAAAGAGACTTTGGCTGCTGTATTGCTCGCAAGAAATGGAACTGAGGATCATAGCTAACTATTTTTTTAAGGAAACCAGGGAAGGTACAGGTACAGTATGAGCTTTGACGGCATGATTATGTACAGTAGCTGGGTAACTTATTCTATACTCACACAATCCTTTGTGAAGAAAAGTGCCTCCTAATCTACATTTTAAATGCACCTCCTGGTACTTTCTTCTTACAGTACATCTTTGTGTTTCACTATCAGGTTGACTTTTTCAGTGTTTTTGAGGTCTTCTGTTTAAAGCTAAAATGATTCAGTTCTTTAAGCCTATAAGTGTCACTACTGTAAGCAAAGGCATGTATCTTGCTGTGATTAGAAAAAAAAATCACTGGAATGATAAGAAAAAAACAACACTTTTTCCTCCCCTTGACCTAAACAAGCATGGTATTCTACATGTAGTCTGACTAGCGAATTGTAGAAAATTATACATTTCCTTTATTTTTATTCTACACTTTTAGCTATCCTCAAATTGTTTTTATTCCTCCTCCACATTTTCTTGAAGGTGGAAATGATGTGCCAATATTAACGAATGCCTTTACATACTGTACAGTATATAACATTCAAAATTGTTTCCCTATGTTATATTTATTGCTGTGTTATAACTGCAGTTAAGTCAATGTCATTTGCAAGTTATTGAATTCAGTTATCAGTCGAATTTTATCATTCTTCACTTTTAGTTTTGTATTTAGTTTCTACAGTGTTTGTTAATCCTTCATATTTAAACTTATTTTAAATAAGCACAAATGCACCTTTTATAAAAAGGTCAGACAAGACACTGAAAAACTATATAATGTATATAATGTCTGAGCATTAAATGTTGACTGATAATTTAATATTGTAAAGATCACTGAATATATTTTTCAAGTTTTAATTAACACAATGATATGTTCTCTGCCTACATAATTAGCTGATGTTTAGTATTGCTTTAGAATTCTCCTTTGCATGTTCAATAGCACTCTCGTTTTGCGAGTTGACAAACCATTAACTTGATTTTCTTCCCTGGATTCTGTTTGACACCTGTTATAAAGCATAAATACAGTCACCCAACAGCACTAATGAAAGGTCATGAACCTGAGTCATTCTCAGGTGAAATTGAAAGACTTGATTAACCTGGATTCAAATACAAAATCTCAGTTTGTATATATGTATACTTAGATAGTAGTTCAAATATTGTATATTTAGTTATTAAATAGCATACCTTTTTATATAATTTTAAATAAGTGGTACCTCTTTAGTAGAGTTTATTTGCTAAACTGTTTATTAACATTGATGACCTTTTGATTACATTGAACTATATGAGGAAAGACTACCAAGATTACAATTTCAGCAACTCTGTCAGATTCAGTTATGTTTTGCATGTAGACTAGACTTATTTGTGTCAAGATTTGTTATTCTATAAATGAATCTTCAGATCAAGAATGATTGATATTATTATGCATGCTTTGTAATAAATAGTGTTGCTCTTCATTACTACCTCAAATGAAAGTATCTTATTTGTTATACAAACCAGCAATGTGACACCTGTAATCGGGTCATGATGTGTACTGTAGATTTTTTAATTGAGTATCATTAACTTTCAATTATTCTTTTTCCTAGATGGCCCTCTTGGTCCCAGAGGACTAGCTGAAGCTACAGAGATGTGTACCCAGGAATGCCTAGTGTTAGGCCACTCTGATAACTGCTGGATGCCTCCAGGTCTTGGATCTTACCAGCAACCTAAGTCCCCCCTGTCTACTTTTGCCAATCAAAAAGAATGGGCCAAAGACAAACTAGTGAATGGACATACATTGACAAGATCCTGGAAAGAAGATGGTAACCGAAATCAGTTTGGGGACAGAAAGCAGTATGGGAGTGCAGAAGGTCATTTTAAAAATGGGAATCACATGGCAGACATACAATTGGCTAACTTGAAGTCTTACAAACAAGCTTCAGGCACTGATAGTCCAATGGAACACCAACTATAAAAACAACTTAGGTGACCAGAGGGTCAATCAGTTGTCTTTGCAGCTTTTGAATTAGACTTGTGCTACAGCTGTGTAATAGTTATATGTACCAAGTAGGCCTCTAGACTTGTGCTTAAGCAGCAAGTATACTGTATACAATTCTACTTTATGATGACACCTCAGAAGGTGTTTTGCAAAATCGATGACACCAGATTATTAACCATTGTGAAGCGCCTGGGACTACTGGGACTAAAATGGGACTAAAACTCATTTGGATTTACCTCCCATGTACTTTGCCTTTAATGAAATGAAGGGATTTCTGTGAAAAAAATGGAAAAAAAAACTTTTTTGAAATGAATTAATGGCTGACCAGTATATACAAGTATTGTGACGTGGTTATTATTGAGCTGTTTTGGGACTATATTACTCGACACCATCAAAGAAAAAGAAAAATATAATGAAAGCATTGTGCTATTAACACTGTTAGTTGACACTTGTTAAGTCTGTCATTGTTAAAGTGTTTGTAAATAACAAAAAATACTAACCAATTTTGTGTACCTGTAATAATCACTTAACAGAATAAGACAATGTTTCATGGTTGCTTTTCCCTTTTTAAGAGTTTAGTTTGCTTCCTGATAGTATTTCATTTCTGTAATAAATTTAGTCAAGAGGGTTCACATTTCTAATCTTGAACAAAAACCATACACTCATAAAATCCCTGTGCAGAATGTTAACAAATTAGTTAATGTTGAACCTGCACAATATTACACAAATCTCTGCTTTAAACCAATTTAGTAGCACTCTAGATACAAATTTTATATATATTTATATAATTGACAATAATTGTTCTATTTGTTTCTTTGAATTTCAAATACAGTTGTTCTTGTGGAAGAAAAAAACATAAAGTCTCTTACTGTGATATCTTTGCTTTCCTTGACAACATTTATTTTCATATTTAATTTTATTATAATACAAATAATTATGTACTGTATGTCCCAGTTCTGGTTGTTGTGTTTAAACATTTTAATTCAACCATTGTTAAAACCTATATATTGATATTTCAGTACAATAATTGTTTGAGTGTAATCATGATGACTTCATGTGTTATGCCTTAATGGCTTATTACCATGCATTAGGCTGATAAAAATGATTAGGAAATGGGCAAATGCCAAGCTAACAATTGTTTAATATCTTAAGCATAGGGTGCTTGGCAGATATCAGGATTGTATTTCTCTGCTGATGGAAGTAAAACAATGTAATTAATTTAAAAGACACAACATAATTACTTAAGAAGCACGTGCAGAAGAACCCACGTATTTTAAAATATTTTGTTAAGGCATGACAGCCAGTTTAAGCAATGGAAAGCATGCAAATATAGCTTTAAAATTAAATTTATTTTGTGCCATATTTAAATAACACTGGTTTATTTGAAGATTGATTTGTGCATTAATTAAACATCCATTCTGTATAGCACTGTTATATTTTATGTCACAGTATAAAAACCATGTGGGATGGGAATTGCTTATTGCAGTATGTCTGTCAGTTGTGGGGGTGTTTGACATCATAGATATTCAAACAGTTAATCCTTGTTACTGCTATACAGGTATCCAGCTATTGCAATAAATGTTTAGAATATTTTTGTTTGTGATGTGTTTTTATTAATAGAAAAAAAAATTGTATGCTCAAAAACAAATGACATTTTCTATTGTCATCTGAAATTTCTCATATCTGTTGACTAGAACAAGGGTTAGAGATTACTTTTTTGAAGAAGTTGTGATCTGGGCATCCAGTCAAGAAATACTGGTAACCCATTAGATACTAGGAGACCTTTTCTTAAGTGAGTATAAAGTTAATTTTTAATAAATATGGTACTTAGTAAAGCATTCAGAGTGATAAATGAAATTATGTCCAATGGGAATAATGGACGCAATGGAGCCCATATGCACTAAGCTATCAGGGATCAGTAAACTACTTGTATCAACTGCCCCTTTTTCCTCAGTTAAATTTAAAAAACATGCATTTCAATGGCTTTTGATTTTATAAAAAATATATATTTGAAATGTAGTATAAATGTATTACAGTGTATTATAGAATGTATTTAATTGGCAAGTAGATCACAAACACAGTTTTAATTAACAACTAGTTTTTATCTTTCAACTGCTGATCTACATCGCTAATAATGTCTCATATGCACTGCTGAACACTTCTAACTGAGAGAGTTACTTCTGTAATTTTAACCAAAATATTGGTATAAATTTTTTTATACCAAAAAAATGGTTCTTCAAAAATCACTTTTGTAAATGGCTTTCCTTTGCATGCAATTCATAATGCCACTGTGCAACATGCCTTACTGGAACTTTCTTGACTTTCCCTAAAGTTCAATAGGCTGTCTTATTTGTTTGGCATATGATTTGATTTAATATATTTCTTCATTTGTTTGGCTCTGTCAGCAGTATCCATATGTGATAATGATGACTCAGGTTTTGTGAAAAATATCTGACAACACTAGATGTGTGTGCTACAATAGTTTCACAACATAATGTTCAATAATAATTTCTCCTTGTGACACAAAACCTTGTTTTCTTTTTATTCATTTTGAAACTTTCAAGATTTCTTTGACTGTGACTTTTTTGAAGGACTTAACACACAACAATATCAACCACTTAACTGACCACATCTTAGCTGTACATATCACACTTACTGTACATATGAGTTTCTTACCAGATCAGAGGCTAGCAGGTTACATCACAACAATGATGCTAGGTTCAACAGGACTCAAAACTACAGTCCAGTTTATATAAGGACATGTACCACACCAAGTGGCCAAGATGCGATTCTCATCTCTTAGTTTGATGTCATACGATAGGCACTTCAACAATTCCTCTCTTCCAGGACTTACGTAGTCCAGTAAATATCAAGCATACAGCAGATCAGCCCTCGCAACAAAATAACACTTTTTTTTGGGTAAAATGATCATGCTAATGATCATGCTCTCTCAGTTCCCTAGTATGCATAAATCTCTTGCCATCCAGGCAGACCCATCAACAACAGTCCTTTTAACCCCTACATTTGGCAAGCACACAGACCTACAGAGTGGTCTTTTTTCTGACCAGTACCTTAATTTAGTGGATTGGAGTTCTGTCCCTTTGGTTAAGTTCTGTGCCTTTATAACTGGCACCTAATCTGTATTCTGTAACAAAAACTATGGTTTTCTTTTGAAGGTAGATTCTGACTTCTACATGAAAATGACCTGCTTCTTTCTTGCTGGAATAATTCAAAACCCTGGGACTGTCATGTTGAAACTTTATTTGGCCCATAGGACAGTGAGCCCTGAGACTCCTTAGCTCTTTATGATAGGACATACTTATTGTTTATGTACAGTATATGAACATTTACGTATTTGATTCTAACAAGGGCTTGCCCCTGGATGCTTTTCCATTTCTCAATGTCTGTTAGTTTTAAGAAGGCTATTGGAGTCTTTAGTTTACTTCTGATAGGTGTTGTTCTTTTTCAGTGAGAGCTTTGGAACATCTGTTCCTGTTAGGTAGCAAATGCTGTTTTGACAGAAAAGGTTGGTTTCCAAAAGAAGAATGTATTCTTTGCCTTTGTTAGGCCAGAAGTTTTGCTGACAGGATTAGATGACATGGTAAGGTGTACAGAATCAAAGTAGCATACTGTAAAGTAACAAAGTGAGGCCAGAGACTACATGGTGATGAATAAATTTGATATCAGGGAGCCATGGTTGTGAAAAAATCCTAAAAGTTTCAAATAACTACAAAAACGCAAACCATCAAGTGAGGGATGATGGGAAAAAAAAAATGAGTCCAGCTCATTTGTCTGCATGAATGGTTTGAACTACATAAGAGTGCTCAAAACCTAACTTAAAACAAGTATCAAGATCAGTCCAGTCAGATCAGTAGTCTTAATTCTACCACTGGAGACAAACAAAAGTTTGAAGACAATTCGGAATCCACTGAATAAGACTAATAATGGATGTTTACATGGAATATATACTATCACTATGAATTGGTTATAAATTAATCATAAATGTATTGAACAACTGTAGGTTTGTAAGGTGGAAATTGAAAAGCAAAGAGCTGTTGGCAATAAACAATTAAACTGTGTAAATTAAATGCAGTTTGTGGAACAGGATTAACACTTGAAAAGGTGAAAAAAACATTTAAAAAAATTGAAAGAAAAAAAGAAGAAAAAATATTTTCATCACCATCACATAACCAATGTTGAGCTTTAAGAGATACTGTAATATAATCACAATACCACTGAGATATGCAAATTTGTAAAATTAAGCAGACTATTAAATAAATGGATGTCAGCCAAGGGTTGTGTGAGCAAAAAAATAGACAACCGTATTTTAAGCCTCATTTAGGATGTCTGTATCAATAACAAAGATTTTAAGAATCAGAGCTAACAGGATTTAGTTAGTTAGAAGTTAGAAACTGGGGTCACTAGAGACAAGTGAGTTGGAGGCAGAGAGTAAATACTGGATATTAAAGGAGGAGTTCATTGAACAAGTGATGATATCGTAGTACAATATATAGTGAAAAAATAGAAGTGATGGCCAGTAGAATAGTAGGTGGGCAACAAAGAAAACATGGAAAGATTAGTAGCATACAGAGAAGATCAAAAAAGTTCAAAGGGTCCTAAAGGCAGGAGAGGAAGCCTAGAGGTGCTTTCAGGCTGTGCACAAATCTTCAGTTGAATTAACCACAGCAGATTTAGATGGAAAAACAGATCCAGTTTCTGCATTGCAAAAACTTGAATACATATGGCGGAGTTGTAGCATAATGAATGCTGAAATAACTACATAAATATATAATCATATATTGTATTAAACATCCATATTTATAGTCTATAAGATATTTTTTATTATAAATTACAACTATTTGCATTTCAGGGGATTTCATGTCAAACATGCACTATGAAAAGAAGGCTGGGATAATAGCCACCATTTTTCAAACTGACTTAAATTTAAAATTGTAAATGTAAATTGATTACATTTTAGATGTGCTTACACTATATGGAATTAAATTTGTAAGTGTTCTTCTAAGGAATAAGCTCTTTTTTCTTGTAAGAAGAACTTAGATCATTATTTCATGAAGTGTCTCCATGAATACATGATCCATTTATTGGGAAAAAAAATCAATTCGGTCTTCTTTTTTTTTTACTTAGAAACCAATATTAATATACTGTATGACTAATGTTGTCACCATTGTAAAAAGTGACAGTATGAATTGTATTATAACCCATACGAGTTATAAATTGTTTTAACTTCTAAATCTTAGAAGTTCTTAAACCTAGTCTCCCAGTCCTTCAAGTTTTAATGCATTTCCAATCAATGGGAAAAGATCACATTACCTCCGTAAATAAACAAAAAGTAATGAGGGTAATGAGTATAGATTTTATCCAGGTCAGCTTTATATCAGCTTGGAAAAAATGCTCACAGGATTGAGGCTTTTTCACAGTTGAGATTCCAAGCAGAGTTTGCATCTGAATGAAAAGTGTTAAGCTAGTGGAGAGGGAGACTGAGCTTGATTAAAAATATGGAAAAACATAGCAAACCACAGTTCAGGAGCAGAATTATTACTACATCTTATCCCTGACTTCAATCAATTGCTAAATTAATTACTTCAAAACATCTGCCAGCACTGCACCAGTTCAATGCAATAAGGTTGAAAAAATGAATGAAAAAAAAAAGAATATCGTTTTCATTAAAAAAGTCTGAAATGTCTAACAAGTACTTTTTTGTTGCTTAGAGTGCATATAGGAAACATGATCCACATACAGTACCAAACAACGGATGTGCCTTGAACATTCTTGCACATTAAAAATTAGGACTATAAGAAGACAGCAAAATCTGGATTATTTTATTGGGGTTAAAATACTAGAGGGAGGTCAGAGACACCACAGACACTTTCATGACATGAGACACTAACGTGAGATATTCCCAGCATCCATACCATCCTGCAACTCACAACTGGAACCTCAATGAAGCTAAGGAGGTGTTAGCCTTGTCAGTACCTGGATGGGAGACCACCTTGGAAAAACTAAGGTTGTTGTGAAAGTGATGTTTGTGGGGCCAGTAGAGAGCGCTCACTGTGCGATCTGTGTCTGTCCTAATGCCCCAGTATAGTGATGGGGGCACTTTACTGCAAAAAGGTGCCGTCCTTCGGATGGGATGTAAAACTATGGTACTGATTCTCTGTGGTCATTAAAAATCCCAGGGTGTTTCTTGAAAAGAATAGGGGTGTTACCAGATGTGGCCAGATTTCCCATTGGCCTTTACCAATCATAACCTCCTAATAATATTGCCCATATATGAATTGGATTCATCACTCTGTTCTCCTCCTCACTGATAGTTGATGTACAGTATGGTGAGCATGATGTGTGCAGTATGGCTGCCATTGCATCATCCCGGCAAATGATGCACATTGATGGTAGTGGAGTCCCCATTATCTGTAAAGTGCTTTGAGTGGAGTGTCGAGAAAAGTGCTATGTACAGTAAGTGTAAGAAATTATTATTACTCCAGATACATACAGGAGTGCATTAACTTCACATATAACAGAGATTATCAGAGAGCTGGCATTACCTGTGTGATGAATGA